CTGTTTACCTGATCAGATCAGGTATTAATGGGAAGACTTTTGGTTCTGTTGCAACTTAGGTCCCCTTTAGAATATCAGCTTAAAAAAAAATAGGAAATAGATACATAGCTGAAATCTGCTCATTCTGACCATCCAGCATTTACCAGAGATGCACACTCTTACAGTGGGGAAAACTGCATACCATGTGCCAGAGTTTTGGTCAATATTCAGATTTATTATGCAGAGGGGCAGAAAAAGAATGAAATACTGACCAAGGCAAATAGGCCATTAGTTACCTCTCGGTTCAATAAGTCTTGATGCTCTCCTAACTGTGCGCCGATTATTTCCTGTCCAATTCACATTAGCAGCTTATCTAATGAGAACAATCTATGCGACGAGATAGAAATTCACACATTTACAAAGGACATCACCAAGTTACATTTCATCACAGTTAACACCATTTGCTATTCTCTCAGGAAATAACCTTTACTGATCTTTCCTGTTTTAATGCCAGCAATTGCTTTCAAGAAGAAAGCTCAATTCTTATACTCACCGCTGGTTATATTTTAAATAATAGCATCTTAAAGGACAGCAATAACTGCCTAAGTGTTGTAGGACAAAGCATTCACAGGCTGATGGTGGCCAGCAGCATAACAGGGGGACCAGAGTTCCTGTTCTTAATGGACTTTTCTTCCACTCACAGGGTCATCCCTACCCTTGCAGGGCCTATTTTTCTTCTATTAACTTCTACTTACATTCCCAACAGTTGCACAGTTTCACACAGAGAAGGGATCTAACATCTTAGAGAGAAAGAACATCAGTCAAAACAAGCAGACAAAAAAAGCCCAGAAGCATCCTAAGTAGTGCTAATAATTTTACACAGTAAATGAGAGATATCAAAGGTACAAAGAGGGAAGAAAATAAAAGGATGCCTGAAATACGCTACAAGATTAAAGATGTGGGAAAAAAAAAGAAACTGTACGCGTTTCCTGCACAAGGTTCTCTTTACAAACAGATAGTTAAATAAGCTTGAAAAGAACGTGCACGCATCCTTGGCCAATGTCTGCTTTCTTTTGTTCCCCAAGTCCGGATGGTTTTGATTACTCAGGGAGTGTTCCTTGCATGAGGCCTCCATGAGGCAGGCGGTGGGGCAGGGCCGAGCAGCCTCCAGGAGAGCGGAGCTCCGGACTGGCGCCACAGCTCGACCTGGAAACTCCAGCCAGGAAAGCACCATCTCCCCCCACAGCCTGCCCCGGGGCAGCACAGACCCCCCTCAGCCCTGCTCACCTCACAAATACTGCGGAGGGAAAAAAGAAAAGAAGAGATCACGAGATCACATCGTTAGTGATCTCCAAAGACTCCAAGAGGAATTTCCAATCTGCATGGCAGTGGAAGGAGAAATGTTTCCCCACAGCCGCTTCTGTTTATCTATGACCTCATGCAACAGTTCTCCTATCAGTTTTTCATAATAGTTTTCCAGAGGAAAAAAAAGTAAAAGGATGAAAAAGAAGATATCAGTAGGTGGATATAGGTAAGCTTTTTAGAACTGCTACTGCTTCAGATGCAAGCATCTCAGTCAAGACATATCCCAGAATCTCATCCAAAACTCCTGACCCTCTCACTTCCCATTTTTAGGCCTATTGCGTGGTAAAATGGGCTGATGAGGTCCCTGGCAAACTGCTTTCTGCACTCACAGAGGCAACATGCCGAGAGGTTTATTTAATGCCTAGAATATTATTGCTTTATGAAACACCACACACAGCTCAAGGGAGGGCCAGGCAGAAAGCCCCAGAATCTGGTGGGTGCTTTGACTGCATCTTGCTGTATGACTTCTTTGTAAATATAATGTTTTTTAATCTAAAAAGATATTTGCAGATAGGTGAGAAGGCATCTGAGTTGCTACCTGTCACTATTATGGATATTAGTAACATGCAGCATTCTGCAAACAATTAAAGATGTGCAAAATATACTTCACTTGTGCTTCATCCAATATGATTAATCTAACTGAAAAAATTATATTGAAAAGAAGTCTAATGGGACTACCCTGAACCACATCCAGGATCCACACCTACCTGCTTCCCCTGTGCTGCTCCCAGTCTACACCTCGTTAGCTGCAGACGACACAGCCAGGCGCTATTTGGCACGTCTCAGGCAAATCACAAAACACAGTCCTCGGCCAAAAATATACATATATACATGCACACAGAGAAATCCCCCTGGAAGTGGGATTAGTTGGAACTTTCCATCAGAAATCCTGAACAAGAGCATCCAGGAGGCTTCAGTGTCCGCTCACTCCTGCTGTTGAAGGACAAGTTGCTCTTTTTTTCTTTTTTGCAATGTTCTTCGCTCATTTCTGAATGTGGTTTAAAGAGCTACTAGCCTAGACTTAACAAAGTTTCCTTGGAAAGCTGATTGTGTTTCCCTCTGTCTTTTTGACAGAACCCATTTAAAACAGGCCTTGATTTCTTTCCTCATTTAATTATCTAGTCTTTATTTTCTGCTCAAATCCCAGGTTTTATTTCTCAGCTGGAGTAAATGTTATAGTCGGACTCATGTCTGGAGACAACAGGCTTATTTTATAAAGTTTAAAATCGTTGTCCTTTAAAATTGCCCAGTGAAGGGCGATCACCACAGCATAGACCTCAGTGCTTGGTACGGGGCATGCCCAAGGCACTGCAGTTCAGAAGGATCTCCAGGGACACTGCACATTTAGGTGCCTTCATACAAGCCATTACAGACCTCAAAGCTCTGATTTCTAATCAGTAACTGAAGTTTATCCTTTCTGAACTCGTGTCAGAGTAACATTACATTTTCAAATGCAAAGGCGCCTCGGCGCCGAGGGAGCCACTCTCCTCCAGGAACGGCATTTCAGGCTACTCTGCGCAAACACCAGTCTGACAAGGCACTGTGAGAACATGCTATGATGTCCTCTTTTGCTTTCTTGACAAGTTCTGGTAAATATATCATTTCTGCCTTTTCCACTTCCTAATTTACTCCTTTTCCCAGCAATAGTGACAAAAAGGTTCTAATTAGATAACGCTAATTAGGTAGCGTGGCATGTGATTGACTACTGAGAAGTTGCTGTCTGTTCTCCAGAGGAGCGTGAGGGGGAAAACTCACAGATTGACTATTTTCCTCGTAGAAGCGGGGGATTTATCAGGACTCAAAAAGATGCAAAAAACAATAGGTTGTAGGTAGTTATAATTACATATCAGGGCTATATATTTTATTTTGACATGTTTCTGAAAGGATTAGTGGGTGGTAAAAGCTTTTTTTGGAGGGCTCAACAAGCGATATTACTCAGAGGAAAAACTAAACCATTACAAAAATAGAATTACAAAAACTGTCACAGGCAGAGACAAGTTTTTTAAGGTAAGTACTGGACTAGTTAAAAAAAAAAAAGTCCAATAACTGAAGCAAAGAGTTTTGACATGTGACAGACTAATTTGAGTATTTTTTCAGATATTTTCCTTTAACAACTTGCAATTAATATTCCGAATACATATTTCAGTAACAAAAAGTAAATAAATATATAAATAACCTGCCAAGGGCCACTTAAATTGCAATATTTTAGAGAGCAGCAGATAGGAATAGACCATTATTCCAACATAAAGATTTTACCTCGAATCACTTTTCTACAAAGAGTTTGGAGGCTTAAACTTGTGTCAGCACTTTCCCACCTGTTACTAATCTCAAAGTTTAACTAAAAAATATCCTCTGACCTACACTGCTAAGTAGTTTTACTTGCATGACCTCACCGTCAAGTGAGACATTTTGTATTCTGAAAATATGACATCCGCTATTTTATATATTAACAAAAAAATTCTGAGTTCACCTATATTCCTTCATTCCCAATGAAATTTATGATCTGCATAAGAGACGGGTATTGGCAGTCAAAATTTGACATTTGCCTGTTTATCTAATATCACTATCCAGACTTCCTACGAGTCATATTTCTCCTTCAGATGAAAGACTAGGCCTGCATGACATTTCTCTTGGATGAGTACCAAATATTTGAAATCATCATTTTTCTAAAAAGCACGCGTAAGGTCATGATGACACATGAAATCTTCACAAATTCTTGCAAGACACTAGATATTTTTGTGCACAGAGTCAACACGTTTACTAACATGATTTCTAATTTCTTGAAAACTTCAAATGCAGACCTGGAATTTTCTAAACCTGTATTAACCCACATACGGTATGTTTAAGGAGCGTTCTGAAGTATGTTTTGATTTGTAGCATTTTAAAATTGTGCAGACACATCACTTCTTCTTTAAGAGACTTACAAGAAACACCAATCACATCCTGGCTTCTCAACATCACTCATCATGCTGTGATACTACACTGATGTATCTCAATCATCATTACACCACAGTGGAAAAACATTTATTCGCAAAACATTAATTGGAAAGTTCCAAGTAACTTGTGGTCTGGATTTTTAGTTTTCCTAGAAGGCTCAGAGGCAAATGGCAAGCGTGGAAAGCTACTGACTGGAGAAAGAGGGTAAAGAATAAGCTTGTGTGATAATACAGGTTTTGTTGGAAGTGCCAAAGTACTAAAAAAAGATGCAGAGAAGCAGGAGAGTAATAAGGGAAACCCTGCAGGTAACTGGCAGGCATGCAAGAAAGCAAGGAATGTGTGTGCCAATAGCAAAGGTGGAAAATGAGAGCGACCATGGGAAACTGCTGCCTGAACGGGAAGGATACAAGGACAGGATTTATTGTTGATTTAAGGAGAAGGGGAAAAGAGCACAAGTTTAAGTGCGAGCCTAAGGAAAGCCAAATGCAGAAACTCAAATTTAAGTAAATAATGTTTTTCAAAGCTATTGTCTCGAGGGCTTTGCCACATGGTTGCTTCTAGGTAAGAACTTGATAGTGAAACAGTTGGCAAGGAGGTAGGCAGAAAAAAATAAGCTGTAAGACTAATTCAAAATCCTGTTTCTGAGCAACAAAATGTAACCGTTTTGACTTCGAAGGTCCTTCACATTTCATGCCAGTCCTCTGGAGGTGTCAGCTCACCTGAGTACGCCCAGTAAGGATCCCCCGAAGCCTTGCGCCTCCGGATCTGCACCGAACTGCCATGTCTGCTCTCGTGCAGGGAGCCAACATAACCTTCAGTCAGAGCTGCAAAGAGAAGAAGCAGGAATCATTAGAAAAATGGTACTGAACTCCTGGATTTTAAGCTGAAACTCTAAATCTTAGCCAAGCAGAGATTATCAACTGGCACTGCTTAAATTAAAGGCAAGAGGTGTATTGTGTATTAATTGTATTTATTTTGGCCTTGAAAATCCACCATCCAAAGATGATTCACATTAAACAGGACTCATTGGTGCCCATATCCGGCACAAAATCTGCCTAACTTGAGATGTTTCCATAAGGTTATTCTGATGTACACAAGCAAATAAGTACAAACCATGACATATCATCCCTATTTCTCAGTCTAGATCCTAAAGACAGTGTAAGTTTATTGTAATAATTGTAAAAAAAATTGTAATACTACAAAATTATTTTCCAGATCTCTAAAAACATAGATGCAAGGCTGTGCAAGGTGCAGCTGTACCATGTTACATCCTGGTTGCCATAACTGCATCCATCTTAAAATGGCCGCCTGGAAGAATTGCGCTCGGGATGGAACAAAAACAAACTGAGAGGAGATCTGGTCAATATGTCTAAGTACCTGAGGGGAGAAGGTAGGGAGGATGGGGCCAAACTCTTCTCCGTGGTGGCCCGCAACAGAACAAGGGGTAATGGGTACATAGTGACCCAACCACAGTAAATTTCATCTCCATGTGAGGAAGCACTTCTTTCCTGTGAGGGTGACAGAGCCCTGGAACAGGCTGCCCAGAGAGGTTGTGGAGTCTCCTTCTCTGGAGATCCTCAAACCCGCCTGGATGCCTCCCTGTGCCCCGTGCTCTGGGTGTCCCCTCTGGAGCAGGGGGGTTGGACTAGATGATCTCCAGAGGTTCCTGCCAACCTCAACCATTCTGTGAAAGCCCCTCTGTGCCCGCAGAGCTGGGGCCTTTGGCGCAGCCTCTCGACAGCAGCAGGGCTGGAGCAGCATCGCTCCGTGCGACTCGCTCAAGCGGAGCAGACACGCGGCGCTGCCTTCAGCCACAGGAAGGGTGCCCAAGTCACACAAATATCCAGAGGGCAACTGCAATGCCTTGTGACGGGGGAGTAAGGGTCAGGAAAGAATCAAACCTCGTTAAACTTCACAAAAGAAAACAAATTGCATGCAGCAACCAAAACAACAAAGAAGGCACTCCACATGGCATCCCAGGATTTTTTGCATTTATTTTTTCCTTTATTCAGCTAATGATTTTTTTTTGCCTTTACAAGGAATAGCTTAGGTATAGCTTTCATTAAGTTTTTTTTTTTTTACATGCAAATTTATTTATTGTTTCTATACATCTGACTGAACCGAGCTAGAGGTGCGCAAATTCCCAGACGTCAGGAAAAAAAGAAGTCTAATGAATTCTACCTTTCGCAGAGCACTGCAGCTCAAGAGCTTTGTGTTACAATACATGCATACACACAGTGAGAGGAAAAAAAAGCCTTAGATGCAGAACGTGAAGAGCAAGTATGCACCACCTGGTTCTGACAATTCAATTCAAACTGATCTCAAACCACTCATTTGATCAGTGAGGGACTAGCTGAATAATTCTAATTAAAACTTTGGAAAACCCCCTCAAGCTTCGCTACCTGCATGAATCCATTCTGAGCATTATATTCCCATCTATTCTCAAGCCAATTACAGCAGGGCTGTAAGCAGAGCTTGTTATAGACCTTTTCAGAACATAAAGCACCAAAAACTCAGAATTTGGCTTTCCCCCAATTTGGGATACTTTCTGGGTGACACCTCCTTGACGCCACAGCAGTAGAGAGTGTCCAAGGAGTACATATGCTCAACTTTACAGACAATATTCATTCTGCAACATGGATCATTGATTCTGCTTCTTTTTTGGAACCCTAAATAGGTAGAGAAAGTCTAGAAATCTCAGGGAAGACATTACAGATTTGCCAATGTCAGATCTCCTCTTGTACAAGCAAAGGTACACTGTGCAATTAATTATGAGCCTCTGATCTGAATGCATTTTCCAAATTTCTTGGCAGCTTTCTGAACTCTAATTCACTCCAGGCTGTGAGCTAGAAACATTAAAACAGATTATGCTACAAAGATTTTTAGGCACCTCTCTGATTTATCCAGCATCTCTATCTGGAGGGGAGGTAACTGCCACTCACTCAACAGAGAGATAACGGATGAGGGGCGTGGGGAACCAAATCCTCTGCAAAAAAAACCCTCAAAGATCGAAGACAGTGAAAGTCCCAAGGAACTCAACAGAGAAGTAACTCAGGTGGAAGGACTTTCAGAAAATCTGTCCCAATTACTCATTTAAAATCACATGCCCTGAGAAATACACTGAAGTCCCTCCTCGTTATGTTAACAGGAGACTACAGTAACTTATTTCTGGTCATACTCATGAAGAGGGGGTAAATGCCTGTAGATACCCCTTTCCTTCCCAAATAAGCTGATTTGTACAGCCAGGAGGATACCACGCAACCACCTCGAAGAGGTAAAGTGGTCATGCAGGAACCTGCTCACTGAACCCTTCTGCTTGCCTTGCAAATCAGAAAAAAGAAAAAGAGAAACTATGTCAAAAATCTATATTTGTTGAAGAGGTCAGTGCATAACATTTGAAACAAGTTGTAAAAACCCTTTGTACTCTCTTAGCTTGAGCCATCAAAGAATATTCACATGGCAACTATGGTATGACTGTGAAGCTTTCTATTGATTTTCGGTATGCTTTGTGCAGAAAATTAAATTATGCAAATCCAAGTCTTCATGAATCCCTCACTTTAATATGAAATGGAACATTTGCTTAAGTCAGCATCTTATTTATGCAATTAAAAACTTGATATTCTTCTGAAAACACACAGTTTTAGTTTCCTGCATAGACACTTTATATTTTCCTAAGTTTATATATACTTATAAAAGATGAAGAGCCATCTTGTACACAAATTTAATTCTACCAAAAAAGATATCACAAACTAAGAGAGGAGCTCGAGTATTCATCATAAGAAGCATGGAAAGACACTTGTAACTTGCGTTGCTATGTATCTTCTGTAGGACTACAGAAAAAAAAGAAAAAAGAAAACAGTAGAAAACAAGTTGGAACATTCTGTTCTAACTAAAATCCTGCAATCACCTGCTTGGCAGATCAATGTGAATGTCAACACTGCCCTTACAAAAGGGTGATAATGTGCCAATCATCAGCCATTTATAGACATGTCCTTCCCGAAGGCCTCCAGAAAGGATGGAAAGCCAAAATCTCTACCTATGCTATGAACTGGGAAGGTATAACTGGACTGCCTCCACCTAAAACCTCGACAAAAACCTCTTCTTTATTGGGCTAGCTCCATTTTCTGGTCTGTTCACAGGATGTGGCCACACACTCCTGCAATGGGGCCTCTGGAATAAACATTGTGGGAACAAGTAGCTACTGGTGGGAGCATCTTCCACTAGAGAATGCCCTCCTACTAACCCATTAGACACTCCCAATGAAGATGTACCAGGTATTTCAGTGCTGTTGAAACTGCTTCTTTCACTGGAAGAAATACACCCAGATGATCTCCTTCAGCTCCAGCCAGTTAGGGCACAGTTACTTATTTTGGTGAAACACTCATTCCACAGTTCCCAAAGGCATCATGAAGGTGACTCAGACAAACTCACACAAGACCATCTGGTGTTCAAGATCAGAACAATTTTTAGAAGAAATAAGAGTTAAGACACCAAATCACTACGAATTTCCTCTGTTCTCTTTCCGGGGGGAGATGGTTAACAGCTCAAGAGCAGAGAAGAGCAAAGTGATTTCCTGTTCCACTCCTGCAGAACTGGATGCTGGAGAGCAGCCAGCATCTAGTACAGAGCAAAAACAGGGAGGCTGCACTTTTCTGGGAGCCCTGGACAAGGGGGCAAGTCAGGAAAATAGGAGGAGGAGAAACATGGTCCAAGAAGGCTCAGAATAAAATGGACAAAATAGAGGAAGAGGAGGGGGCTGGCACAAATACACAGAGCAGGAGACAGAGAGGAAGCAAAGGGATGGCAAAAGGGCTCTCGCTGCATGGCTCAGTGTGATACATCATGCCAACGCTGATGGCAGAGGAGTAATGAATACCAGAATACATGGTCTGAGACTTGCAAATACACGATTAAAAGAGAAGGGGACCAATTTGACACTCGGATACACAAGCGTGAAATTAAATCCTGCGCAACTCCTCTGGCTGCTGCTGCAGTATTGACATCTATCAGGCGTAACACCTGCAGTCGCTGGAGATGTCTCGGTGCCTATCCCAACTATTTCAGCAATGAACAGAAGATCCTTCAAAGCTAACGTGGAGGAATCTCTTACACCTAATTTCAGATAATTTTAATCGGTACTGAACACTACATGATTTCAGATGATGTGCTAAATGAATCAACCCGTGCTGCATATCTGCAGACAGCAAAAGCGATGCAATGCCATCATGTTCCTTAGCATTCTCATCAGCTTCCCATTCACTGTCTCAATATATTAAGTTTCCAATAAAAATTATTTGATAAGTACCCTCAAAGGTAAAATAAGGTAGCTCCTGCCTGAATACGTTACTAGCATTCATACTTCACATGAAAACACAAAATTTTATCCCCAATCTACCTTAAATATAAAGCTATTACACTATTCAGAGAGATTATACCCTGGGCATTAGCGTTTAAAAAGAATCAAGCCATCAGCTCTGTAAGAAAAACCCTTTAAGGTCGATACTTTATGTCTGAACGGTGAAATCATTAGTTATGATGGTAGATTAACTCAAGGTAGATTGTGTGCCAAACTCTGATTCTTTAAAGCCTCCTCAGAAGAGTAGCACACAAATCCATTTTCAACTATTCTGATTAAAATGGTGCAGAGTCCCTCAGGTACACACAGAGCCCAACTAATATTAATTCAGTGGCTTGCCACTGCAGGCTAAGCTCACTGCTGAATCCATTTAGTCTAAGTCCCTAACGCGGACACATTTCAGCAACGCAGCTCAACCAGGTGCTACTGCTGGAAGACTGTCCGGCTGCTGGAGCCACACTTGGACTAGTAGAATTTGGTCAGAAAACGCTTAAAACAGGGGCACAAGAATAAAATTCTGATAGCATTTAGCCAACGACTGAGCTGTAAAGAACGTTAGCAATTAGTTCTGCATCAAAAAGAGGCTTGTAGACAAGAAGCTTGTACACAGTCCAAAATAAATAAATAAATAAATAAACACACACCTTTTCTTGAAGACTACACAGCAGTGCATTTTAAAATGGAGGGACGGGGGAAGCAAATAAACATAACCTGAAGGGTTCTTGTATCGTCTCTTTAACAGACCTTAACAGATCAGTCAGCAGAGACTCTCAGCCATCTGCAAATCAAGCAGCTTTGAGGAAAAAAAAAAAGTCTTCATCTAGGTGCATTTACGATATTTGTAATTGGACTGTACTAAGAAGAACAGGGTAAGGTGTAAGCTGCATTCACTACAGCTATTCACTACCCCGCATGCCCAGCTGAGAGTTCAGGCTTCCAGGCAGTTTGTTAGAATAAGTACAGAGCAGCGGGCCAGAAAGGAAAAAGAGTGAAAAGAAAATAACTGATAGCAAACTGATTTATAATGATGCGTAACAATTAAAATATATTTGTACAATTAAAATAAAAAATGGTTAAATCCATCTCTCTAAGCTCTTCCACAAGCAACTCTCTAAACAAAACTAGGCCATTTGCCTCAAATATTTTACCACCTTTGACAGGAAATAAATCTAGAAATATTTCAGGCACAATCCATTTTAATAGTGCATTACTTTTAAATAGACTCTTCAGCCACGTACTCCCATATTTTGCAGAGATTATTTTGTATCTTGCCAAAAAAACGATGAAAGTTAAACAACATATGGTGGTCAGACAGCACCAACAAATTATATTCTGAATGAGCCTTCCTCCTTTGATTATGCTGCAGTGATTTCTTCTGATTATCAGATAAAAGACAAACTCTCTTCTCCCATGAATGCACAGGCAATTTGCACAAACAACCTGCTATTAATGCGGGAGTTACAAGCAGAAGTTTCTTGGGACTGAGCGGAGTAACAGACACCTGAACTCTTCACGTGCCAAGGGGTGCCATTTCCCCAGACGACAGTTACTCAAGCCAACCCTTTAATTCCCATGCGAACATAACCCACAGATCTAGCCCTAAAACTGCCGTGACATCTCGCCCCATTCGCTCTGCTCTTCTTGTGCCTCCTGGATGATGTGGCAGCACTGCAGAGCACAAGAACAGGAGCAAAAATGCAGAGCACAGCAGCCCTTTACAGGAACTAACCAGCAGACTGCAATTTGAGGATGAAAAATAGACCAGGGAACACACTGTCAAACCGTGGGGATTAATTTAACTAGTGGAATTAAAAGTCCTTGTCCCAAACATGAGTAATATACCAGTCAACAGATGCATTAACCCTTCGTAACCTGTTTCACTCAAAGCCCAGGAGTTACAAGTAATGCATTTTGCTTTATTCTAATGCATCAGTACAATCCAAGTCCTATAAGCATTAGAGCTGATATAACAAGCAGCAGAAAATAGATTCAGTGCGATCTTTTCCTTACATTCCAAGGGACGGAGTTTAAGGACAATAAAAAAAAGTCTAATTCAGAGCAATCCTGAGGCAAAAGCAGAACAAGGACAGGCACCGCAGTATGTGCCAAGTGCTGCCAGCCACTCTCAGGCAGAGCAGATGCCTTCCCAAAGAGGAGCAAACCAAACTCTCCCCGTCATGGCCAGTTTCCATGGATCTTTCTCTCAGCCCGTCTGGCTTTGCAGCAAGACGTGAAGCTCATTAGCAAGAGAGCCAGGGAACTTCACAACCCACTAACTGCGTCCCACGAAGGGCACTCATAAAAGGAAACTTGGGAGGCCAGGAAGAGGCAGATGCTGCTGGATGATCCGAAAGGGCTTAGTTTTGCATTTGGTGGCTTATCACACTCTTGGCATCAGCTGGGCAAGGTAAGACATGGACAGTGATTTTGGATCATTGACATCAACTGGCATGACCAGCAGCACTTCTGCTAGGAATAAGCAGAGTTAGCCAGAAAACCAACAGTGCCAACAATTCCCATTTCAGGTTAAACAAACACAAATTAAACTGACTGCAGCATCCTCCTTCTCATGAGGACTATGCACTGCTGCAGGGTTTCTGACAGAGGATTTACAGAACACTCTTAGACCAAGGGATCTTGGACCACGGTATGGGACCTCACATCTACCACTATAAGCAACTTGTCAGGAAAAAATCCTGATTGTCATCTCTTCCCCAGAGAAGACAGAGATGCTGAGCAGAAGATGTGACCAGAGGGTTGAACTTCTCCAGGATGGTACTGCTGCTATTGGCAAACTGCTCATACCAGAGGAAACTCGGTTAAAGGGCCTGGCTTTAGCACCACTCATCCCAGATCACTGATAACTACAAAAAGACTAAGACCAGCCACATTTGATTCAAACTCAGAATAAAACCTTCACCCCCTGAACTATCCCCAACACCTCCCTGCATGTCATTGACAACCAAAGTTTTTCAGACTGGTATTCTAGGCATTTCATTTAAGATACTTTAAAGACTAAGGCACAGTACATCCTGAAAATCAGACTCCTTTCAGACTCCTCCGATTTAAGTAGTCAGACAAAAAAATAATTGGAAGCAACTGAAAATTCTGAAACCTTGAAAACGCTGGGCCCATGCATCCTGCACAGTCCCTCAGACTTCTGTTAACCATCATTATCTGCAATTCTCAAAAGGAGGGATCCTCGTCCTTGTTCGCAGCCTCTCCATGCTGTACTTCAGAGAGGTCATGTCACCTCAGAATTTTATTCATAACGATGCTTCATGCAAACACAGAAATAAAACTTCAGAACAGAGGGTCACAAGCAAGGCTGACCTCCCTGGGAAAGCAATGCTCTCTCAGCAGTGCCAGCTGAATCACAGCAGACCCCAGGGAGAAAATGGGCAAACTCCACTATCATAGAGTAGCCAGGTCAGAGCTAACCAAGACAACGAAGACCTGGGAATCAGGGGAAAACGACTGCTCCCAAAGCCAGCTCTGGTGTCTTTGGGCCGCTTCCCCAGGTACAAGCTTGAAGTCAACCATGGAACGAAAGCTGAAAGCCAGAAGCAGCAAGAGTGGGTCTTTATTACACCTCTTCCCGTACTGCAGAACTATCTAACCCTACAGGTGTTAGAACATGAGGTAAAATTGTGTCTGGAAATACTTGCCTCACAAATGCAGTCTCACATAACGAGATACGTGCACAGTACCATAAGGGCAACTGCTGAACAAATAGATGTGACCTTAGTAGAGCATTTTGTAGCTTTGCTACTAAAAAAAACTGCTAGAAAAAAATTTGCAGAATCACATGAGATATCATTTAACTAAAGCTAGCAATACTCACAAAACCACCCCAACTCCAGCAAAATCACCAGCTCTACCTCTCCCCTTAGGAAAGGATTTGCACATGCTCACTGCCAGTATTTGCTTTATTACATTAAAGCCTTTTTCCAGTTTCAAAACAGTCTCCTAAGTCACGTATCAAGAAGCATCTTAAAAGAATGACTTGTCCAGTCAAAATAAACACAGCAAAGGACTTTGTGCAGCAGCTGCTCTGTGTGTGACCTCTGGCAGGACAGCAGCCCTGGAGGCAGCCTACAGGTTATTACTCATGTAACTATCCCATTAAATCCACCTGTGTTCCTAGCATAAGCAGAGACAAGCATGAATATAACCACTGTGGCCTTCGCAGCTAATACACCTTATACTGAGCCCCAGCAAGCTGCTCTCCTGACCATTGCTACAGGATTATTGCTGTAGCCCCAGGAACAGTTGAGGTCCTTCCCACTGCTCCTTCCCTGCCCAAGAAGGTATTTAAACATGGCCAGCACTACCAAGAACATGGGATATCAAAAGCCTCCTGGATGAGAAAGGGCTCCTTCCCGAGGGCATGGCAGAGCACTCCTGGGGAGAAGTTTGGCACTGATGCTGCAAGGAACCCCCGCTACCCAAGGTCACGCATCCCCAGCGCCTGCGCACCCGCTGCTGTGCACAGCTACCAGAGCTGCTCCCCTGCACGGCACGGCATCAAACCTGCCCCACTAGACAGTCTAGAGACACAGGGGGCCTGTCAGCCTCTAAAAATGCCTCATTTTTAGACAAAATGATTTTTTTTAACCTATGTCCTTTAGGCCATTTAACAATTTATCAACTGTGTGAAATAATGTGAGGCCGCATCAATCTTCTCCTGGTTATTTGGTTCAGGTTCTCAAATTAATGCAGAAGGCAGTTCAGTAAAGAGACATTTAGGAAGGGAAAGGTAAATGCTGTAGTCACGTTGTGGGACATCTCCCACACAGTTCTTATCCAGATCCCAATATCTATGGCTGCACATTCTTCCAAAAGACAGAAGAAAAATTAATAATAATAAAAAAATCGCAAGCCCACACGCTCCCCCCAGCACTAGAAGTGACTTCGAATTTGTTGCCCTCTGCACTGAAGCAGATCAGCTGCCCGCAGGTGGCCAGATTTACTGTCTCCAACATGTGACAGCAGCCATAAAACCATTCCAGACAGATCCACAAAAATTATTTAAAGACCAAATTTAAACAGAGTCAAGCAAACAAGCCCACATTTTTATTTGTATGAAAGTGTATTTAATTTGGCTCACGATCTACAAGACAGAGTATTTTGGTCCTTTTTTTTAAAATGCTGACAGCTTGCATTACACACAGATTTTTTAGCAAAGGGCTTCATCCATATCTATTTCCCAAAATATAAACCTCAAAAGGAAACAGAGATTTTTGTGCTGACTGAACAAACTGTAAGGCAGAGATACATGCCCCAAAAACATGACCTACCTTTCAGAGAGCTCTCTCCCTTCCTTCCAAGCAAGTTGTCTTGTTCAAAGGGAAAAGACACTATAAACGTTAGAGGTGATCTGTAAAATTAACCCAACTTTCATTTTTGCTTTCTAGTTGCCCACTGTTATTTCACCAAGGCAAGAAGGTCTCTGGAAATTTTCCA